CATTACGCATACTTTGAGCTGCAGAGTTGATTTTCTCATTTGGAGGAGGTTGCACTCCAGAAGCTGCCGCTGCCGCTGCTGATCATTATCAATGATCTGGCATTGCATCGCATTCCCATTGCAGTTCGGAACCGAAGACTGACTGACACAATGCCAGGCGAAGATGTGCTCCGAAATGCATCATCCTCCGTATGGAGCAGGCTCCTCTGCTCCATCCTTTCGCAGCGGGATCATTGACTATTGACCGCGCTGATTGATTACTTTGTTGCTTGGCACGTCGGCAATTTATTGGAGAGATGCCAAGGCGGCGGTGGAGCTGCCTTTGGATGATTAAAAATGCTTTTGTGTAAATTATTAGCTGCAAATTCACTTGCAGACTCATTTGCTGTTGTTGTCGCTCATAATTCTCGCCTTGAGGTTTCCCCGCAGATTGCATTTTCCATTGCTGAGGCTGCTTCTGCTGCTGTTGGTGTGAAAATGATGTATGTGGCTCTGCGGTTGGTTTCGGTTTCAGTCTAGCCTTTGACTCTCTGGCTATCCTTTAGCTTTTTAGCCGCACCTTCAAATTGGCGGCGGTTTCGCTTTGACTCTACAAAAGAGTCCACATCCCACAACCACATTTACCATTTCCTGGGAGATCCTCTGCATATCCTCTCTCTATTATCCCTCCCCCTGTGCTCCTTCTTGGTGAGGAGCATGTCTAAATTTCCTTAATATTTCCATTTGCTTGTTTGATAGAATTTATGTGCGCATTCGGAATTGGCAGAAACGACGACACAACGCGAGATCATTGCCGGCATTCCAAGCAGCTGCTGCACTGCGAGAAATTCCTCCTCCTATTTATTTTACTTTGTCATGCTAAAACTCTAGCTATTTATGGACGTTGATGCACTTTGGTTAGTACATTCAAGTGGTCCTTGTGACACCAAGCAAAGTGCTTGTTATATATAGAAATGGAATACGCTATTTAATTGATTTTTAAACATCTCAAAACCTAATAAATTAAACATTTTAAAAACTAATTTCTTTGCTCAATTTTAGTGTTATTTTTTCTCGAGTGTTTAGATGCTTCTGCCTGCTGAGGCGACCGCAGCAACCATGACAATGACAGCGTCTGGGACGAGAGCATTGCCAATATTTATTGACATTTAAGCGGAGGGGAGAAGGCCGACTTCCCTCAGGATGCAGCAACAGCAACAGCAGCATCTTGTTGTCATTGCAATGTTTGTTGCAGTTGCAGTTGCATTGTTGCTGGTGCTGGTTGCTGTTCCAACTGTCAGTTATCATTCACTCAGCGCAAAAACAGCGGCAAAACATTCGAATCTCGGCAAGAAATTCGATTCCCTCCATGCAAATCCTCAAGTGAGTTATGGTTGCAACCACCGACAGGATGTGTCTCTCTCAAGGTAACCAGCTCCACCTTCTCCCCTCCTGCCACAGTCTCAACCTCCTTGTGTCCAATTAACAGTGGACATCGACACCTCTCCTGCTCCCTGGGAGCCTTTCTCTTTCCCACACCTGCTGCAGCTCTCGGCCAGCAGCAAATTTGAAATGAAATATTTTCGATTCTGCTGTCAACATGAGTTTTGTTGACAACACATTAGCAACTGTTGCAGTTGCCGTTGCCGTTGCAGCAGCAGCAGCAGCAACATGTTGCCGCCGTTTGTGGCGACATCGCATCGTTGGACGTTGCGCATGCGCCGCACGATTTGCAATTTGCAGCTAATTGAACGCGTGCGCAGGCGCAGTTTGTTGTCGACTCTCACGCTTCTCAACCCTCCTCTCTCTCTCTCTCTCTCTCTCTCAATGGATAACCATATCCTATCCCCTCCACATTCACATCGATTCTCCATCCTTCTCCACACACCACAAGTTAGAAAAAAAAAAAAGTGCCAGGCGACAAATGGAGAACGACATGAAAAAGTCTCATGCGTGGTAACCTGAAACTGAAGTTGGAGTTGGAGTCCGAATCCCAGTCCAAATCCGCATCCGAGTCCGAGCCCGCGTCTGAATCTGAATCTGGGACTGGCTTTGCTTTGAATCTGAATGAATTTCGACAGCAACTGGCTCTCAGTTAGCTATTGGCCTGGCTAACTCTCAAATATCCCAAGGAGCTGCTGTCGTTAATGGTGGCGACAACTGCCTCAGCGGGTGGTGTTGTCTTGGAAGCACAGTAATCCTCCAGAAGTTGGAGTAATATTAACTTTACACCCTCAAATTGGTATTGGATTTTTTTAAATTATACGTAATGATGGATAAAAATGCTTCTAGATTGTATAATTAATGCTAAATCACTTCCTAACTATATCTAAGTTTCTTGTGATCATTACCAATTTACATTCTAGATTCATGGTTCTTATTTTTAAGTTTCATTACAGGTTAAGGCTGTCCCTCTTCAAAGCATTTATCATTCTAGTCGTACGGTTTGTACTAGATCGATAAGTTAATTACATAATACATAATACTTTGTTTATTTATAGTGTTTAAAAAGTTCTTTAGATTTCCTACAGAAATTCAGAAAGTTCTCACTCTAAAACCTCTCCTTCCTAGGCCTTCTTAGTTAGCCTCTTCTCTCTAGTTATTTACGATTCTCAGTGCTTAGCTGACTTTTGATACATATAATATATTCAAACCTATATCCCAGGCACACAAAATATGTATGTTTGTTGGCCAGTTGATTTTTTGTCAAATGCCTCCTGTGGTGTTTCCATGTTGCTTCTGTTTCTGTCTCTATTTCTTTGCTTTTTCGGGTCGTGCTAGTTTTCCGCTGCAAAGCCTCGTTTTCCTATTCGCTCTTTGGCGCACTTGTTTAGTGTCCGAGAGTCTGGCAGCGGCTTTGTCTTGTCCCCTTTATTTATCTCTGTAAAGTAAACAAAAAGGAGTACAAAATTCTGCAATATGTTTATGCATTTCTTGTGGTCGCTTTGGCGGCGGGTTGAGGGACTTAACCATGAGACATAAAGCCAACAACAATGGCTTCTTAGCCTTCTTGCCTCTCTGGAATGTGGCTCCATTAAATATTGTGAGCCTAATACACGATTTGTTTTTGTAGCTGCCGCTGCCGCTGCTGTTGCTGCCGTTTTGTTTTGTTGTCGCTGTTGATTAGCAATTTAATTGATTTGTAGGCAACAATTTGTCTGGCACTTTGAAATGCTCCATGACTGTCGTCGTGCCTGTTGGCCTCCAAAAACCCGAGCCGGTTGCCAGCTCATAAAATATTCATATATATAATCTCGGGGGTGTTTGTTTGATCGTAATCTCATGCAAATCTGCAGCAAAACATGGCGTCATGGAAGAGGGGGAGGAGCACAAGAGCAACAGGTGGCCAAAAGCCCAGCCCTTTTGGCTTGGCTTGGCTCTGGCTCCTCATGTTGCATGTGGCAGCTCCTCCTCCTCCGCCGTCTGCTGGTTATTAGCCATGTTCAAGCCAAGTTACTCCCATTTAATTAGGGGTCTCTTCTTCACACTCTCTCCCAGTTTTTTCTTACTCAAGGGCCCAGCCCTCAGGCAGCCATTTTGCGGGGCTTCTGATTCTTCTGGGGCTTCTGTTCTTTAGATTTGTGGTTTGTAGACTGTGAGGCTTCTTCTGATTTAACACATGTCTAGTACTATATTTACTTGGTACTTTATTTATTTACTATATTGTATATTGTATTATGGAATTCATTTATAAAGAAGCTATGATATATGATAAGCTGTAAAAAATACTGATTCTTCGGAAGCTCTTTGGATTTCTTCTCTAAACTCTTCCTAAGCATCTTCTCCTATTGTTGAAATAATTTTCTTTTACAAATAATCTTTTAACTAAAATATATTTCCTAGCTTTTTGGAAGAAGAAACTCCACCATTGGTCATCTTACTCAGTGGGTGGAGCCAGCAAACTTTCTATTGAAATCTCTATTTCGATTTGACAAAACTTTTATCGCTCCCGTGCGGTGAATGTCCAGCTGTGATTCCCCCAGTTACCATCCCAGCTTTTATAAGTTGTTGCCGAGTTTCCGTTTGTATTGAAGGCGCAGTCTTATTAGTTGCACTCTAAGAAAACTAAACTAAGATAAACTAGCATTGTTTTCTATGAAATTTCTATGAAATCTAACTGGTAAAGTATAAAGTTTACATATTTTTCACATTCCCTCTTTGAAATTTATTTAAATTTCTTAACTTCTTTGCCAAGATCTTTGTAGTCTGCTCATTCTTTGTTGAATAAGAAACAAACTATTTTATTTTCAGTGCACCCGAGAGTTGCAGTTGCTGCTGTTTGTGCAGGTGGCCGCCATTTGGGCCATGATTTATGCAGTGGCCGGGCATTAGAAAGGTCGTTCGCAGTTGTCGTCGCCAGTCGTGATTTCCACGGAGCTGGACGGGAGAGTAGCTCCGAGGAAGGAGACTGTCTGGGAGAAATCCATTGGCACTTTGCTGGGCTCAAAAGCCGGACGTCTTAATTAGGTTTTTCAGCTAAACAAAAAAAAAACAAAAAGTGCCGAAAAATGCTGGCTAATGCCCGACTTGCCACGCCCACACATACACGCTGTCTCTGACCCACAAATGGTCACATGCTCCTCCGCCTCCTCTTCCTTCGCCTCCCCCTGCTATTTGGTGTTGCCCCAATTTGAAGCTTTCTTCTGGTTCTTCCTGAGCGATTATAAATGACATCGCATTAGTCTTGGTCGGGTTAATGTGCGTCGTCTCCTTTTGGCCAAAAAGAAAACAAAGAAAAATGCTCGTCTTCGCACAACTTCATTAGTGCAGAGCTTTTTGGGTGAGAGAAGAGTAGGGAGATGAAGAGTTCCAGGAACCAAAGTACAGTTGCTTTCTTCAACCTACGCAAATTTCTGTTCTTAACCCTTAGGGTGTTATTTTTATATGAATTTACAGTTAACTTCTAACTAAAATGTGCTCTTAAGTAAAATTCTTTCCCAAAACATGTCTTAAATTTTATAAAAGCGAACATTTGTAAGAAAAATATATAAAATTTTTATCAAATTTGAAAATTTGTTGTCTTGAAAACATGTCAAAAAAAATTGTACTTAAAAATAGCTCCTTTTTGTGTCCAAAAATACGTATAAAATGATGATTTCCTAGCTCTTATCCCCATGTTCATCTAAACAATCGGTGGTTGTGTCAGCTCTCCTTCGACGTAGGTCCTCCTGGTGCTTAATGGTCACCTCCAAGAATTTCAGATAACCCTCGTCGATGGGCTCTGGGTCCAGATCCAGCTCCAGTTCCTCCTCGTTCTCTTCCTCTTCCGAGGAACTTTCGTATACATAGTCCTGGCAGTTATCGGTTTCTTCCTGCTGCCTCAAGCCTTGGCAGAGACTCATGACCTGATTGTGGTGCCACTCAAACAGAATGCGACTGGTCTGGATGCACATCTCTGCTCCCATTGCCCATTGCTCCCGGGCTGTTGGCTGTGGTGGTCTCTGTTGCTGCTGCTGCAATGGCTTTCCTTCCCTTCTCTGGCGACAACTGCGACGACGATTGCGCTGTTTGCTCCTGTTCCGTGTTCTACCTCGCTTCCTGGTCATCTCTTCCTGTTCCTGCATTTGCTTCGGGCGGTTTAATGTTAACCAAACATTCGTCTGAAGATTTGTTTATGTTTTTAGAGTGAAAAGCAACAATAAATGGGATGATGTGGCCACCTTTTCGAGTTTAAAGAAGTTGGCAGTCTGGAAACCAGCTGATGGCAAACAGAGTTGCCAGCTGGGGTCAAAAGCAAACGAACTACAGATGGCGCTGCTGCATGGTATAAGTCAAATTTGTAAAATGGTGTGTAATATTCCTTCGTGTAGAAACACGTTAAAGTTCTTGATCTAGTTCACAATTTTCATAATGAATTTATATTATAAAATTATAATCAATAAATCAATCTTAACTATTTTTATATGGCAACTTTTTACACTTATCAAAAAATTTAAAAAGCTCTAACTATTCCAAAAATGCATTAATTTTAATTCTAAAAACTTTCCTATGTTAATTTTTATAAGGTTTATAAATATGCATACTAAATTTAAAATTATTAGAAATTCAATTTTTTATAAATTTTGTTGTTTTTTTTTTTAATTTTGCTGATGTAAAATTTAGAAGAAAAAAATATTATTTTAATTTCTTCCGGAGATCGCCATAAAGATTCGTCTGTTGTTGCTTATCAAGAATATATATGATTTATAGTGTCGGAAATGATTCCTTCACTGAGTTTTGAGCTTCTGACTGAATTTAGAATTCCTTCAAATTTAAATATTTATCTAAAATTTTATATGATAATTTTTGACAAAAGTGAATCTTAAAAATACAATAATTAAGCCAAAAACGCATTAATTTCAATTCGGAAAACGCTCCTATGTTAGTTTTAATTATATTTATAAATATGCATACTCAATTTAAAATTTAAAAAATTAAATTTTTTATCAATTTTTGTTGTTTTGTTTTTTAATTTTTATGATGTAAAATTGTGAAAAAAAAATTTTTTTTTAATTTCTCCCGGAGATGGCTAGAAAGATTCCTCTTTTGATGCTGATCAAGAAAATATATGACTTATAGGGTCGGAAATGATTCCTTCACTTTCTTTTAAGTTTTTGACTGAAATAATAATACCAAAAACAATGCGAAAAACTATCTAGCTAATATCTATGTAGCCTTATTTGGGAGTCCAGAAATTGATCAGAATTTTTCTATTTGTATAAGAAACAAGTAAATTAATAATAATAAAATACAATCTATAAAATTAAACCTATAGAATTAATATATAATATACAAAATAAATTCAATTAATTTGTCAGATTTATAAGTAAAAAAAAAACCTGAATCCTAATTAAATTTTTTCACCTAAAGCAACCCCTTTTTCGAAATCCCGGAAACGGTTAAACTGTGTCAAGCGCTGTGACTGATTTCAATTTTGGCCCGTTCCAGCCGCTCTCTCCTTTCGCCGCAAAGGGCAAGCGGAAAGCCAAAGCCAGAGTAGAAGCAGAAGCCAAGCCGGATCTCGGATCCAAATCCAGATCCAAGCCAATCCCAGCGAAAAAGGCAGAGGAGGGAGAAGCTGAAGCTGAAGTCGATGCCGATGCCGAAGCAGAGTGTTTTGTTTTTCTAGCAAATTCAAATCCCGTGCTTATAAAGATCGGTTGTGGGTCAAAAGGAGCAAAAGGAGTCCACCGTCCGTACTCCTTAGTCCAGTTCAAACTGAAACTGGGGATTAGGGCGGATCAATTTGGGTGTGGTGCGAATGCAAATTGGCCAGCGGTACGATTTAAATGAGGCTCAGCACAAGGCAGTCCAACAATGGAAACTGCAGATTGATATACCTATCTACCATCCCACAGATCTACATATGTATATACTACAGGCATATCCTGCTGTGCCGGAACAAAAGTCCCAGGGAACGCGGAGCACTGCAAGCACGCACTTCCTCCTCCACTTTACCTGCCGGCTCTCATAAAGGAAAATTAGGTTTACACCTTCCCGGGCCAATATGTTCATAAAACAATTTAGAGATTTACAAGGGGATCAACTTGAATGTGGTGCACATTCATCAATCTCTCTTCCTAAGGGCGAGGGTGTGGCCTGTGTTTGTATTGCGGTTTTAGTGTAACGAAAAAAAAAAAGGCGCGTGGTTATGCTTATGGATTGGGATATGGATATGGCTTTAGCTATGGCCAAGGATATGGATATGGTTAGCAGCAGCAGCAGCAACAGAGCCATCATCATCATCATCCCGCCCTCGGAAACCGCCCTCTTTCCGGAGCACTTCACACATGTTTACTTTGGCAACAACTTTGGCGCTGGAAAGGAAGAGCGGGAAGGGGAAGGAGGAGGAGCAGCTTTCATTTTCGGTGAAGTAATATGCGTTCTGATAATATGAAAAACATCCTGCGGCCAGGATTTGCACGCACTTATTCCCTTTTAATGGACTTGGACAGCGACTTTTTTTAGCATATTTTTTAACGTGCGAAATAAAAACCATTTTAATTCGAATGGTTCCTCAAGTGAGATGAGAGCTTATGAACTAGTTCCTTTGTATTTTATTTTTAAGGAATATTTTCCTAAACGAATTGAGTGATAAATAAGTATAAACTGATTCTAAAAACAACAAGAACATCAAGAACATCAAAATGAAATATAAAATATCTTCAATAAAGTAAAATCTCATCTAAAACTATATATTTTTGCACTCTAAATTATATTTTAAAATAAGAAAACCCTTAGATTATTGTAAAAACAATTACATATTTATAAACTTAGAAAAATTTCCCTGTAAAAACTTTTAAAAAACATAAACAATTTTAAAAGCAATTCCCATTTTTCGGCACCCACAAAAATCCCTTCAAGAATCATCCTCGCCGCGGGGAGTTGAGAGATTGCCACTCACTTGAGCTACATTAGGGACAATTTGCATTTGCACGGCTCGCAAATAGATCTCTGGCCGCAGGACAACAGGACAATCAGGAGCGTCGGAACAATCGGCAGAGATGGAAAGAGGTGGTGCCGCGACAGGTATTCATTCGGCTGAACTGCACGCGTGGGATTATATTTCTTGAGCAGGGGATCAGGGCAACACAAAGCCACCGAAAAGGGTGCAAGGGTACACACAATAGACGAACAGCAAAGTCCCCGAAAGGATAGGGTCGCGGGTCAGGACAAGTTAGTAACTCTCATTACTTTAAATGGATTTCAATTAAGTTGCAAATTGATCTCGAAAACAATTGAGTCCCGCCGAGGCGTTTGAGTGGTTCGGTTTCGGTTTTTATGTGCTTTCTAAGGAGAAGGATGAATAGTTTTGGACTAGAGCTAAGCCAAGGGAGGGTGGCTCTGCCTGCTCTTGATCCTTGAGCCTGCCTGCCTGCTGCACCTCCTGGATGCTGTTGTTGTAGGCGGAGAAAGTAGCATAAGGGACAAACCTATTGCTCTTTTCATTCATCGGCACTCGGGGAAAAATGCCGGACGAGAGCTGGAAAGTTTTTATTATAAATTGAAATTACAATTAATTTTGACTATAAACAATTTTTGAAAAATTTTAAAAAGGTTTCAAACTTAAACAAACTTTGTAACCAACTCTATGGAATGATTGCTTGAATTCAATCTACCTTTTGAAGAGTTTAATAATGTGTTTAATTCCATGTTATATAGTCAAAGTCCTATTCAAATTTAATGATATTTTTTCGAGTGCATTAGAGCGACAGAACCGTTGGCTGCTGCTCTTTTTCATTCATCTGCTTTTGGGACTGTAAGCGATACGGGGAGCTGCAGGCGAGAGACAGCTGCCGAAGAAGCACTCCACCACTTGGATGAGGAACCCCTTCTCCTCGTGCTAGTCACAAATGACTGGCAGTTTTCCCAGCCAGAAAGGAGCAGTGGTGCCAAGTGCCCAGTCCTGCGGCTGACAGGATAACGAGATTTTTCAAGTGGCCCTCAACTACACTTCTCACACACCCTTTTTATTCAGATTCTGATTCTGAATCTGATTCCTGCAAATCAATCTAAAAACGAAATCTCTATCAAAAACTCCATCGGTATATCACTGATCCGAGGGTCTTAGCAGATTTCTCTCGCAATTAGCCGCGCAGGAAATGGGCAAAGGCGTAAAAAAACGATTTTCCAAAGACTTAAGCACGAACAGAGGGATAACACAGGTCCAGGGGATTGCACTATATATATAGATATATATATTTCTTTTGTTGAGGATCGCAGCCATCAAATGCGCATCACCAATCACCGCAAAAACAAAAAAGAACGAGAAACGTTTTGTGGAGGAGAAAGCCTTCCATTCTTTATTTTTTTCCTTTCTTCTGCGGGGCGTGTGAAGAAAGGGACATTGAAAAAAGTGAAACAAAAATGAGCACCGGGAAAATAAATGTTGCCATACAAGGACAGGGCTTATCCCGGCTGATCCTTGTTGCAACGATTTGCAACGGTCAATTGAAAAGCGACCAGGGAAAACGATCGGCAATCAGGATCCAGCAACGGTACACGGCGCAGGACGACCTCAAACAAACAGGACCTCGGAACAGCAGCAGCAGCTTTGTTTTGCTTTGCTTTTTTATGCTCGAGACAACAACATGGCAAATACGACAGAGAACACGGGGATAACAAGGAAATGGAGATTGGTACAAGCACAGAAGAGAGAAGGAGAACAACATGGAGAAAAGCAAACACGCCACACACACGCTGCAAGAGTAGGAGACGCCTTCAAAGGAGCTGATTTTGCAGACTCACTGGGCGAAAAAAGCCATCACTTTATTGATTAATTCTTTAATATATCAATTAATATATAGAAACAATGTACAACTCTCTCAGAGTAGGAGTTAATTAATAAACTCTCTCGTTCTCTTCAAAAGGTAACTTATAAGCAATTATACCTGTAAATTGCTTGTACTTTATAGGCAAGGCGTGAGGGACATAAATATAAACGCGCAAATGATATCTTCGAAAAAAACAAGTTACTAATTGTTTTTACGTCAAATTCCATATATCCAAATTAATATATAGTCTCTTTTCACTCACAAAAACACCTTTTTAGTTGCAATATTTGTTTTAATACATATATAAAAACAAAATCTTTACCCTTCTGGTTCCATTATTTCTCTCTCCTCCTCTTTCTCTTAAAAATAAGGAACTTATTAGTTTTCTTTCAGTGCTATCCTATCCCAAGGCCCAATATTTCTAGGCACAATTCTTTTGCACCCTTGCAATCCTTTCAGTTTTGTCTAGTTTTGTTTTTCTATTTCTATTTCTTTTTCGCGATTTGT